TATATATATATATATATATTTAAAATTCATCATTTCTGCTGATTTATTTCTTAACTGAAGACAATTTTATAAGAAAGTATTTTTTTCTAATAGTATTTAAACCAGATGAATTACGACAAGCACTAATGCCTACATTGGAAAAATTGTATAGACAAGACCCAGAGTCACTTCCATTTAGACAACCTGTAGACCCTCAAATGCTACAAATACCTGTGAGTATTTACAAATTCCTTTAGACATTGATTTTATTTATGTGTTTAATCTTTATCACTCTTTTGTTATAAAGAAAAGCTTCAAAAGTAGCTCCATATATTTTAATCAGTTAGCTTCATGTATTAAAAAAAAAAAAGGACATTTTATGGCACAGTTTCTGTTGTTGTCCATTATCACAGGCATGCTTCACTTTGCAGAAAAAATTCATCCAACCTGTTCACCTTTAACATAAGTTGTCATCCTACTTCTGGTAGAGTGTAAATTAACCCATGCATTAACCTGTAACCGTTATCTCCATTTTTTTGGTCACTAATTCCCTCCTCTCTTCCCCCTTAATATGGAATTTAGCATGATCTCGATCGTACCCGGCTGCCCTGGTTACCAAGGAAAGATCTATCTACACTGAAAGTAAGTCAGCGTTCACCAGCTTATCACCATTACCATTCCAAACCTTAAATTAACAAATTCAATCAAAGAATTAGCTACATTATTTTGGTAAAGATATCTAGTACTTTATAAAATTTTTTGCTTGACTTTTGTTTTTAAAGTAAATACAGTGAACAAAATAGGATTTTAGATGTTAACAAAATATTGCAAAATGTTAAAAAAGTTGTAGTGTTTATAATTCTTAGTAAAATAGTAAAAGTTCTTGTGTGGCATTAAGGTCTGATTATTGAAATAATATTTTAGGATATGCATGTTTGTACAGTAGTATTTATGATCTTGACAGTGCATGGGAGTTGTAGTTAATGTTTTTCAGTGATAAACTTCATTCTGTGACAGAAAGTTTTTCTTTTGCTGTCCATAGATATAAGTAAAGTGTTTAGTTCCAAATGGAGTATTGCAGGTGGTGATAAAGAAAATCATGGGACCCTTCACACATGGCCTTCTCCTGGACCATTTTAAAAATTGAAATTCTTTAGTTAAGAAGGAAAATAAATTCTGTTAAGTGTTTTTAACTTTTGTATTGTAAATACAACACTAAATAATAAACTAAATATTATTCATAATGCAGATTACTGTCATGAATCATAATAGTCTGCTATATTAACAGATATGTGTTATCAAACAAAAATAATTTATGAAGATAATCTTGAAAATGTTGAGATTATTGGTTGAGTTGTACTATAATTGAACCTTTATTAGAGATATACACTATACTTTTTTTAGGCTTGGCATGGCTTGTGGTTAAAGCACCTGACTTGCAATTTGTGGGTCACAACATTGAAACCTGTCACCAAAGCTGTTTGCCATTTCAAGCATGGGGTTATTGTAATGTGATAGGCAACCCCTCAGTTTGTTGGTAAGGAGTAGCTTAAAAGTTAGTGGTGGGTGGTGTTGACTAGCTGCCTTTCTTCTCCTCTATCACTTCAAAATTAGGAATGGATAGTACAGATAATCCTCAAATAATTTTGTGTGAAAATCAACAAAAGCAAAGTATTTCTGTCAGTATTTGACATCATGATTTGCATACTAAGAAGTTGCTTGGTGACATTGATTAAACTGGAGAGGTGCTCAGTTAGAGCGCATACTTTTGCCACGCACTATAGATCATATTTGGCTCTCAAAAAATATGACATATATCTGTAGGGTTATCAACAGACATGGACAATTTTTGGCAGGACAATGAGGAATAATATTCTAATATGTCCACCAAGTTTCATAAAAATCTGGTCATTTTTGTCTGAGTTATAGAGTGAAAATTGACCCCGTGTCAAGAGATGGGGATTTTTGTGTGTGTGTGACCTTTGACTTTAACCCTCCAAAAACTAATCACTTTTAAGTTGGGTCATAGTCCAAATGTATACTAACTTTCATCCACATCCAGTCAGCTGTTTTCAAGAAATCTTGATGACAAACACGCACACACAGAGGGGAAAACATAATCTCTGTCAACTGGAGGTGGATGGAGGTAATAAGTAAAGTTGGCCTTACAATTAGTCAGCTTAGTCAGGCTTTTTAAGAAGTATCAATATTTTAAAATTACAATTAAAAGTAGTAACAAATAATTTAATTACAGTTTTCAAACTCCTCAGTGGTATATGTTACGAATTAGCATTTTAGTATGGGTGTTAATTAATTTAATACAATTTTTCTTATGTAAATCAGTTTTAAAACCTGATTGTTGTTCAAGATAATTAAGGAGTATACTTAATTTATTATTTCAGGGTGCCAGTCAATAAGTTTCTTGATTCATTTTCAACATCCATGGCTTTTTTCTTCCTGAGTTTGTTGTTGGTGAATATAGTTTTAAAAATGTGATTTTATCACGTTGTAATGTACTTCTGCACAACAGTCACACTTCCCACCATGGGTGAGGAAGGATTAAGTTTGATTTACAGAAATGTCTCTTGGTCATTGAAAATTAGTAGATAATATTTTATTATGTTGCTAAACTGAATTTTGATTAAAATTGATAAATATCTTGAAAATAGATTCAGGAAGAAATTCTTAAATAACATAAATTTGAAAAGATGCATATCTAAACTAGTATACATTGTATTTTACCTCAGAATAACATTTAATCCATAAATATTAGTTTATCAAAATGTATTTCCAGAGGTTGACATCAAAAGTTTGTAGATATTGGACATAATCTATTTATGTAATATTTCTGTACAGGTTTTTATAGATTATATCAAAAATATGCAAAGGATAACAAATGTATACAATGGAGATGAAAAGTGTGCTTACATGCTATCTTGATATATGCTGCTTAAATTACTTAGGTGATAATCATTGCTTCTTTTTGCATGTTTACCCATTCATTGAAAATCAATTCTGACCATTTTTTTTTTTTTCCAATTTTGATATTGATATATTCATTTGGTGTTTTGTTCCATTTACCTTTAGTGTCTAGAAATGCTAATTTTGTTTTTAATATCAATATAAAAGCAATTTAATTTGTACATTAAGTTTGCCATGAGGAATACTGAATTATTTTTTATTACAAAATGTTCAGTTACCTGTAAGGTAATTTGTGGAGGGTTTATAGTCAAGATGATGACTGGTGGTTGATACTGAAATGATTCACAGCTGTAATATACTTTTGTTTTATATATAGCAATAAAGGTCAGATGTTTGATAAGACAACAGGAACAGATTAATAGGCAGACTTAAATGTAAAAATTGTTTTTTTTTCTTGAGACTTAAAAAAAGAGAGATGCAGCTAATCCAACCACTTTCTGAAATACTTGAGGATGAACAGATTTTAGGATCATTATTTATGTGTATTCAGAACAGAATTTCATTACCTATACCAGGTATGAAATGATCAAAATTGCATGTGATAAGCTTAATTGCAAATCTTAAAAGTAAGTGTTTATTTTATTTCTTAGATAAATGTGGCAAATATTTTAATCGTAGCAACAAACTTCCAATATACACAACCTATGAAGTAAGTAATAGACATCCCGAGAATATATATCAATCATCTACATGATGTCACATGCAATTAAACAAAGATGTAGCTCAGTAAAGTCCACAAAATACAAATGATCATGGGACAAATAAAAGGTGTGCGATTCTGGATGATCACAGCTTGTGTGATAATCGAAAGATGGTCACTACTGCTTGATACATCAAAATTCTCAAGCAAGGTCTTCTTGTCTATGCCAGTGACCAACTTACCAAACAAGGCAGTATTTTCATGTAGTATGGATTTCCTGATCATTCAGCAGAAGTGACAAAATGACAGCCTGCAAATCTGGATATTACCACTATCCCATGCTCTGGCCAATCATTACATGTGAACCCTTTCTTGCATAGAAAGTCAATATGTTATTATTTCTTGTAAAACATCCCAAACAAATAACTTTTAGGGACCGCATCATCCAAGTTTTTTGCCAAATTCAAAAATATATCATTGTGATGGGAAAGGAGCTTTGAAAATTAAAAAGAAAGATGATTTTTTTAAAAGAAAAATTGTGAAACTTGCATTTGCTATAGATGCTTAAATTATTAATTTTTATGTTTTCCAACATTATTATAAAACTTTCCTGTAAAGCTTTTATTTTATTGAACTGTAAGCTTTATTTTTGTTTGGTTTGGAAAAGCTGCATGCAGTTTCACTGTGTTTATTTTTTTTTTACCATATGAAAAATATAAGGAAATATATTTTTTTTTCAGTTGTTTATCAGAAGATTTCATTTAATGTATGTAATAAATTTTAAACCCATTTTTTTTTTTTTATTTATTTTTTTCTACATTCACACAGTCACTGAGACCAGTAAGGCTTAATGTAAACATTACCTAATATAATAGCTTTCTCAGCTAAACAAACAAAACTTGATGCAGTCAAGTACAAGATGAATTAACTAAGTCTACCTCATTTTGTTTCATCCAATAAAAAAAATAAATTTCGTAACATATTACAGTATCATAATTCAAGTAAGTATGAATTGAAAAAGCAAATCTCCACTGAAAAGAACAGAAAAATTCATCTGATTTAGCTATTTTATTTTTGGGTCATCATAAAAAAAATGCTTGAACAGATCCTTGAGTAAGGAAACACAATATATTAATATCATAATAGGTAGGCAAACAATGATTTATAAGCATAAGTAAAAAGAAGACAGACCATTGTTCTGTTGAAACATGTAGTATGTTCCACCATCAATGAAATTTTTACTTAAGTTTGAATATGTTAGTACTGCAACAATCTTTGATGTGCCACTAATGTAATGCTATTATATTAATGATATCTTCTTTGAGAAAGAAAAATACATAGCAGAAATTGTGCAGTAAATGAGTATCAAGCATCAAAATATAAAATTGACATGTAAAAAAACACAAAGTTCTTGGCTTAATATGTTTAATTCAAGACTCGAAGGTTAGATGATTGTTTAGTATTTCACTGTTTTCATAAAACCTATATTCGTGGTAAGTTCTAATTTCAGCAGTTTGTTTCATTCATTTTTAGAACAAAACTTGCAAATATTTTGTTGTCTATCTGTAAAATGCCATATATTTTACTTTTTTTTTTGTCTGAAGTAAAAGATGTTAGAATTATCTTACAAAAAGTATTTGCTGTCACAACTTTTGTTGAGTGCTATTATTAAAAAGCTATGTTGTAGAAGCATAAACCCTGTCATTTAAAGAATGTTGTATATCTTAAATGCCTAATAACTGGTTTTGTCAATGTTATGTTATCATATGAATAGCTAAAATAAGATTCAAAACATTCATTTTGTAACATATTTTTAGATTTAGTTTTAATCCTAAACTCATCTAAGTAATGTAGCTTTAAAGGTAAAAGTTTGACATTGAAGAGTGTTTTTTATGTACAAATTCACTTGTTCCTGCTGTCATATACCTGATTTGGTTAAAAGTATTCTGTAACTGTATATGTTTATATATAAATTTAGCAAATTTATTAAGAAATCTGTCGTTATTTGTAAAGGTAATCTGGCCTTAATGCAAACAATGACAGAATAAATATTTCTTCAAGAATTGGTTTGAAAATGATCAGATATTTTCATAGCCATAGAATAATTAACTGTTATACTTAAACTTGCAAGTTTATATTCAAATATTTTTTATTTTGCACATAATTCTGAAAATTCTTTAATGAAAAAGGTGATGCATTTTTCACTTTAAACATTATTTTATGCATTTTCTTCAAAAAAACCTTAATTGATTTGTCATTTTATATATATATATACAAGTATCATTTTAAGATCTGTTATGAAGTTGAAATAAAAAGAAAAACTGCATTTGTTGTTGTTGTTGGTTTAATTTGCTTTCAATAATAAATTTCCAATTTAGCTTCGTACTGGTTAATTCACTACCTGAAAGACTATTTTAGAAAATAAAATATTGTCATAAATTCATGAAATATGAAAATAAATACATTGGACTAATGCTAGTTTTTCTTCTACACATTGTTTCTGTTTTCTGGTTTCTTCTGTTTTTTTCAGGATTACTTTGACATAATAAAAAAACCTATGGATTTATCTACTATAAAGAGAAAGCTTGATACAGGACAATATCAAGATCCTTGGCAGTATGTAGAAGATGTGTGGTTGATGTTTGATAATGCATGGCTGTATAATAGAAAGACATCACGAGTCTATAGGCATTGCACAAAGGTAAGTAAATTTTTTTTATTTTTTTTTAACACTTTCCACGTGGGTTTGGTTGAGTTGACTGACCTCATAACCACAGAGTAGTCATTACACTTTCCATTCTATAACTTTTAACATGTTCAATTTTGTATCTTCATGAAAGTTGGCAAGCTTTCAGTAAACATTACAAGTCTTTTGTAGACAAAAACAAATCGCATATTTTAAATAAGTATTTTTTACTAAAGATTTGTCTGTGAATATATGGAGTGGGAGTATTGACTGCTACAAACACAGTGATTTTGTGTTAAAATTAAAAATACTTCATCTGAAAATTTTAAAATTTCATTTGCATAACCCCCTAAGCCTGAAACGTAAATAAATATCAAACTTTTTTTTTCAGTAAAACTACATTTTATCTATTATTTTCTCTATCTTAACTCTATGCGCTTGACCAATTTAACCAACCTTGTAACCACCATGAAAAATACTAAATAAATATATATTACCCCTTTTCTTTTCTAGAATGACTGCAAATTATAACATGAAACTACAGTTGTTTATGCTAAATAGCTTAAAGCTTGCGACAGTCTACATCTGTTTGTACTTAATATTGTTGTTTTGTTGCCCTTTGAATGTATCTTACTAAAAATTCTGCCACACAAGTTGTAAATCACTTAGCAAACCTGCTGCTCATGTTACCATTTTGAATGATGTAAAACACAAGCATACATCGTGAAGAATTTTTATTATTATTTTTCATCATCTTTCCTAATGAAATTATAATTTTTACATTTTAGTTACTTTTATAATAAGGAATATACATGTAAAACAAGAAATATAGCACTTACTTGTAACCTAGAGCTTTTTGCTGTTGGTTGCCGATGAAATTTAAGTTGTTTTTTTATACTTAGGTACCAGTATACTAAATAATTTGTATTTAATTAAGCAATGTATCTAAGATCATAGAATAATAATTAACATGTACAAAACAAATAATGTCCTATAACTGTTGTAATTTATCTGGCTTTCTAACTATAGCATAGGAGGCTTTAAATATTTTTCTAAGCTTGTTGATCTGAACACCATGAAAGAAACTTTCAAACCAAAGAGGAAATAGACAATACCCTCCACAGAAAACAATGTAATACATCATTTGATAGATTAAATTTTACCTTTCTAATGGTTATAAATAATATAGTATATAACATTAGAAAGAACTATTGGCAGTTTGTGGAAGAGAGGATGTGATAGTAGTGCATGGTTAGTGAGTCTGATTTTATAGTTTATGACTCCATAAACAAATAAGATTGAAGTCTGTAAAAGTTAGACTTTGCCTTAGTAATATCTATATTATTATGAGTATTTTAATTACTGTACTTCAGAGAGGGTTGGTAAATAAAAGTTAGACTTTGCCTTAGTAATATTTATATCATAATGAATATTTTAATTACTGTACTTTAGATAGGGTTGATAAATAAAAGTTAGACTTTGCCTTAGTAATATCTATATCATAATGAGTATTTTAATTACTGTACTTCAGAGAGGGTTGATAAATAAATTAGAGAAGAGAGAAGACCTAGCAAACAAATGTCACTATTCTTATACTAGGTGAGATTGAGTAGTTTTTAAATATTTTCTTATAAAGTCAAAAACTTAAAATGTATATTATAATTTGATTTAGTGTCTGTGTTTTGATACTGATTTTATTTTTATGCAATTATGATAAAGTACTTTAATTGAATTTTGAATGTTACTCTCTAAGAAGTTATGACATGCACACACTGACCTACTCATAGCAAGAAGGTTAACCTTTTGCAGATTGAAGGGTAGGTGTCACTGATATCCCTTGACTGTTTCTTTTTTTATAGAATATAAATAACCAACCTGCATAGAACTTAGGACAGAATTACTAAATAGTATACTAAACGTAGCTGTAAAAAAATTACTGTAACTTGATTTAGATTTTCTATCGCTTTTTTATGCAAAATTTCCAAATTTTGTTATTAAACACTTTTTGTTCTTTTTTGGTGTGGAATTTCAGTTTTTTTTTATCATTGATCTGCAAATTTCATTTTATGTATTCATTAAATTACAACTTTATTGGTTTTCAGTAACATATTTCTTTTGAAACTTTATTTTGCTAGTTCCAGTTGTCACCACTTCTAAATATAAATCATAAAAAACACCAAGTAAACTGACAAAGCCTTGGTGACCTAAAACCTAACCTTTCTGAAATGGCATCAGGTCAGGCTAGGTAACAGTATTTTTGGTTGAAATCAAATAATTTCTAACAAATATACTTTGTTTTCCATAAATTATAAATTGTTTTATTTATATGCTTTGTTTGAATATGATTAACATTAAAGTTTGATGAATAAGGTTTTGAGTAATTGGAATATTTTGTAATCTCTACCACAAATTTTAAACCTAATAAAACTTATTTGAGTCTTTTCATAGAAGAAAATTGCCATAACTTTCAAACAAACATTGTTTAACACAAATATTTTTCAAGAATGATAAGAACATGTAAAGAAACCATGATTAACAAATTTGAGATCTGTGTTGTTGTTTTTTTTTGTTTTTCTTACATGTATATTCTAAATGAAATTCTGTTGTTATTCTTCAAAAACTATATCTAAACACTTTATCACAAAACCATAAATTACTTTTCACAACACTTTTTTTTTTTACTGTGCTTACATAATAATTTATAATCTCTTATCCACTGGTTTTTAAACTTTGCCTGTAGCCTTTTCCAAAGGTGTTCTTCATTAGTAGTTGTTCCCACCCTTTTTATTACCTGACAGCATATGATGTGAATTCTAAAATATTTTTGAAATACAAAAATTGTTGAAATAGAATAAGTATTATTATTTTTACTTCTCAAGTTTTATATGCAGATTTGCATTCAAAGATGTATATCAGTTTGGATAGGGTTAATTGAAACAGTTAATTTTTAGTTGATTTTGTACTGAATGAGGTAGTTAAAATAATAAATAACACACAATATTAAAATACATAAAAATATATTAATTAGGGATAATCTGTGACCTCCAAAAAAGTTGACATCAGATGTTTGAACGTCATCATCAGGAGAGAAAGTGCAAGACATAATAATGTCTTATTAATACCTTTTTAACTATGTCATGTGAATTGTACATTGGTTTACTATTTTTCCATAATTCTCAGAGGTCCCACCACATTCTTCCACAGATATTTGCAAGACCTTTATCTGTATTTAATAATTCATGATCTTTTTTATACTTTGTTATTCCCAAAGATTCATGCTTATTATTGACTCTAATACCTCCTTGGTTGAGCCAATAATACTGTTTTTTTTTGTTTTGTTTTTTCCATAATGTCACATGTATTTCTTGTACATGCTATGGCAGAATTTTCAGTCTTTTTATTTCTTTAATATCTATTATGTTCTGCTAAACAATATTTTAAATTTGGTTTTGTCTGTCCAATAAATACTTTCGCATTCAATTTTATAAATTCCAGCTTTTTCCACAAACTATGTATTGTCTTTAGTATTACCTAAAATTTGCTCTATCTTATGTATTGATTTAATTATAGGGTAAAATATGTGTTGTTTTTTAAACATTTTGAATAAATTAGTAATTAAATCTGGAACATATTCCAAAATTAAACATTCCTCTTTAATTTTATCATTACTAGGTTTTAAGTTAGTACTTTGATTCATTATTACCACATTTGTGAATTTTTTAACTGCTCTGTCTATGGAATTTGGTTTAAAACCTCTTTCAACTGCTGTTTATTTCATTGGTAACAACTCATTTTTATGCCTTCTTGTTCTGTACATATCTTCAGAATTCTGTGATGACAATGAAGTATCCAAATGTAGAGTCAACTTTTTGGAGACCATAGATTAGCCTGAATTTAAATTTTTTTTAATTTTGTCTGTTTCACTGTTCTGTGTTATTTATTATTTCAACATTACATGCAAGTCCCAATAAAAAAGTATTGAGCCGGATAGTGTTTATAAGTCTTCTATGGATTTATTTGAGTTTATGTTTGCCTTTGTAACAGTAATTCTATGCTTTCTATCTCCTTTCATGCAAGGTCACATGCCCTGAATTTCACTTTGTTTTTTAATAGGAGATAATGAATAACAGGACATTTTTTTTTTTGCAATGTTCACCTCTGGACAATATTTTTAATGTAAAATGAAATTGATAACAATGCAAAATCTTTATTTTACTTTATTTTTTATTTTTTTTTTCCAAGTCTTAAGTTAAGAAATACTTTTGTAGGCTTGTGTGTAAAAGCCATGATTAGGACTCTTAAATATTTTTATAAATTCATGATGGTAAATTTATTGCTATCTATTAAGTAAGCTGGTTAGTCCAACAGCTACTGATTACATGGTGTTAACCCTCTTGATTTTTATGTATATCTTTTATTTATTGTTATAAAAGAAATTAAAATGTAAAGTTAGAAACGTAGTAGGTTAGATAATCAAAAATATGTACAAGTTTAGTGATTTATGTCATTCAATAAAGTAACATGAGCTATGTGTTCTCTGTGTGATTTACAGCTTGTATCTTGGGATTTTTAGTTGACAAAGTTCAAAGAGCAATAAAATTAAATAAAAAAAGATGTAAACTCTTACAATCTGCAGTTATTCTAGGAAGGAAATATAAGTAATTTAGATATTTTTTGTGGTAGTTACCAGGTCAGTCAAATCAACTGAATCTGTATAGACTTAGGATAGAGAAAATAATATTTTTAAAAAAATTTCCTTTGGCATTCATAGCACCAACGTAGGATCACCAAATACAAATAAATTCAATTTATTAATTGTTTATGGTGGGAAAACTAAACGGTGACTTGTAAAATTATGTAAAAGAGCATCTGCTCTTACTGTTAGTTATAAACATCGATATCAGCCATGAAAAGTTGATGAGAAAACAACCTTTAAAGTTGGACAAGAGGGGTAGTACTTCTCTGGTGGATTTGACAAACTTATTGGTATTTCAGTAAATCAGAAAGGTAGGAAGTTCAAATTTTAGATTCTTGCTTGTAGTTATATATATATAATTTGAGTTTTTAACTGATTGAAAACTGCAGTAGCCTATTTTTGATGTTAGAAAATTCTGAAACATTGAAATAAGAGCTCATACATGCCAAGTGACACCAAAAAATGAAATTTGAGAATTTTTTTCATGTCTTTTTGAAACTAAGATGTTAAAACTTTGTTAACATAAAAATTTTAGTTATGAAATATATTTTTATGCAAGGTTTACTGATTTAACATGATATAATAAGATGTTTTGCTGTATGATGTTGTATATAAAACATTGTAATTTCATTTTTCAAATAAAGTATGAAAGTAATGCCTATTTTTCTTCAGTATTCCTTCAGTTTGTTGCAATGGTTCAGGAGTGTGAAAAGAACTTTCAAGATTTACATTTCATAATCTGTGAATTTTGATTATTATTTGTTGATTTTGAATTACATTTGAAGTTTATAATATTTGTGAGTATTTGATATATCTTAATACCTGTGGTAATATATGTCTTAACAGCTAGCAGAAGTGTTTGAACAAGAGATAGATCCTGTTATGCAATCACTTGGATACTGTTGTGGGAGAAAATATGTATTCCAGCCACAAGTGCTTTGTTGCTATGGAAAACAACTTTGTACAATACCCAGGGATGCTAAGTACTGGAGCTTTCAGAATAGGTTAGAAAATTATGATTTCAGCTAAAAAAAAGATCACCTTTGTGATGCAGTGTTATGTGAAGGTTGTATTTATTATAGGCTTATCATTTTATTTTTAAATTTGGAAAATTATGATTGTGGTTTTTCATTTTTTTCTTATCACTTTTCAAAGAAATAACAGTGCTATTACATAAAAGATAGAAAAGGATAATAGAAACTGAGATCCTAACCTTTTTGTTTGTGTGTGTATATCATGATATGCACAAGGTATTTGTATGATGCTTGTTACTGAGACTTTTATCATTTACAGCAGTGGTCACCACAAGGCAGTAGAAAAAAAAATGTGTGGGTTTAAAATATACCTACTGAAGTGTATCATTTTACAGTGGAATTAAAAATTAATTACAAATACTAATATTGTATTAAGCGGTCAGTGAAAATTTTGGGATGGAAAATAGATGATCCTTTGCAGAAAAAAGATTATGAACCACTGGCCTATAGTATGAAGACATCACACAGCCATGAAAATTTAGAATTTTCTTTTAATATAGCAAATATTATTGAAATTTATGTATGATAAAATGTTTCAGCCTCAAAATTTAAATGTTAGTCTCTTCTTCCAAAATAAAATTTATTGTGCATTGTGCCTCACAATTGCCACTCAGTAAGAGAAAAAAAACTTGACAGTATTAGAGATATTTATAGAATTGCACACACAAGCTGTGTTTCTTTCTTGCTTCTAGTTGTGGTAGTGCAAAATTGAATATTATTATTATTGTTAATTTTGTTAGTTGTGCCATTGCAAATAAGATTTGTTTATATTAACTCGTGTATGTAAAACACAAAAAGACTTGACTTCGATTTTAATCTATAAACAGTATTTCTTTCAAATATACTACGATCTAGTCCAGTTATCTTAGTGTGCAAAATGTACGATTTCAAATCAACATACATATTTTTGTAACAAGTGTATATGTAATTTTTAAAAAAAAATATATATATATTAGGTTGTTTGATAGATCCCTCAAAAAACATATTCCTGGGCCAACCTCTTACTAAGTCAGTTTATTAGAGATAATCCTAAGTTGGACTTGCATGTGTATATTGAACATTGGTTTTATTTCATTAAAAAATTAAACTTGTATGCCTTGCTAACATGCCTAAGTTTTTGTTTTGTTGTTTTTGAATAGCTGTAATATTTTGCTTGTTTTGATTATTTTAAGCCTTCCATTTAATTCATCACTTTAAGGCAAATTAATTAATGGATTGCTTTTCCCTGTCTGATCTGTTTGATATGCTGTGTGCTTGACATCCTTCCCTGCTTGTTTGATTCATCTTCTCAAATTTGCTGGGCTGCTGTGTGGGGGTTGTTTCTTCTGACCAACCACCAAAATTATTATGGAGTAGTTCAAAGCAATTTGGCCTTCTTTCTGACAGATATACCTACTGTCAACGATGTTTTTCAGAAATACAGGGTGACACTGTCACTCTCGGGGACGATCCTACAGCACCACAAACGTGAGTGATATTCTGGTATTATTGCACTTTATTCAGGTTGTATTAATGATAATCTAAAATATGTGTATATAATGTTTGAAATTCAGATTAATATGCATTTTTGTCAGTAAGCTTATTTTAATCAAAATATAACAAAACTTAATAAATTTCATGATTAAATATATCAGTTTAATCATTGTGTTGGTTTATGAATGTTAAATTTACTTGGAGCTTTATAGAAAATGATACAATTGAATTAGAATCTAGTTTTGCTATAATTATTAATTTTATACTTTATATCTCAAAGACATTTTTTTTCTGTATTTTTTCAGAACAATACGAAAGGATCAGTTTGTTGAAATGAAAAATGACCATTTAGAGTTAGAGCCGTGAGTAATTCTGTTGTGGATCTTTATATTTTCAGCAAAATTGTGACCAAGTAAAAATATTCAACCTAAATTACTTACTTTTTATATTAATTTTCAATCATAATAACACCCAGGTTATTAGATTTTAATATAATATGAATTTTTTTTTTCCCCTCATTTTATTCACATTATTTGGTAAAGTCATGCTGCAGGTGTTAAATTATTAGCAGTCCTGGTAGTAGACTAAGAAGTGTAAGTGCTTGAAAGAGAAATGTCTAATACTTTACTATTTTAAACTCGTTATTTTTAGTGCTACTAGTTTTGAATAGATCGCAAGTACCCAACCACTTGTCTACAGAAATCCAGTTATGAAAAGGAGAGAAAAAAGGTCATATGAAAGATTCACTATCTTTTGTAGATTTTTGTAATGAGCCTTATGATTCTTATTTCAAAGCTTTTTGAAGAAGCTAAATTAGGAAACATTATAGCCCCTTGTACTTATACAAGTCCATATGTTTTTTAACAAAGATTTTTCCAGTTTGTGGAATGACCAAGGAGCCTGTAGACAAGCTAGAAATTTTGGGGAAACCATAAAAACTAAGGAAGACATTTCTAGTATTACCATACATATAAGCTGTGCAAGACGTTTTTTGTAGTTCTCTAACAAGTCACTATGGGTCGTACATCATTTCCATTAATTCTCATTTATTGCCTGCTTTTACACACACATTATCGTAGGCTGTGCTCCTGTATGATGGGGATTTCATTGTGTTCGTCTCCTTGAAATGTGGAGACGACACAACCTTCATTGATAAATCTGTGAAAAATACATGGGACTGACAATGGCACAAAGAAAGAGATTCATTAAACAGGCTGTATAGATTGTGGGTATGGAAAACCAACATTCCTGGAGAGTGTTTTATTGTCTGTAACCATTTTCTGAACTAATGAAGCATTGACAAAAAAGTCTTTCATAATCACTATATGAAAAATAATGACATGTCTAGTTATTCCTAGAAAACAAAGCTGTTGTGCTGAAGTGTGGGAAAACAGTGACAAAAACATGAAAGAGATGTGTATCTCTACAGAGCAGTCGACTGTCGGTTTTCCAAATATGACTGCTAGAAAAACAAGTGAGGAGTCTAGTAAAAGAGTTGGTGCTGGAAAGTTACCAGTCAATTCAATGAAGTTCAGAAAACCAAGGATAACCTCAATTATGGACTGAATTAAGACTGCCAATAATAACATAAGAAAGGTTAAAAATGATGGGAGGTGATTTGGGCCCATCTTGCTCATTTGGTTGTTGATCTAAATGACTCCAATAGGGACATTTTACTTTTCATTTGAAGGAAACCAGAGTAGAATGTTTTTGCATATAGCATGTTTTTTCTCTTTTGTTGTTGTTGTTTTTGGATAATTTTTTGAAATGTATAGTTCAGTTTGTTTTGTAAAATTAAAAAATTTTTTGGTGTTATTTTGCATATTATGTGTTTGTTTGTATAGGTTGTTTATTCATATTTGATTTGTATTTGTAGTGTATATGTGTAATTGTTAGAATATAAAACTGCTAAAAAAAATTGCCTTGCCTTGCTTGGTAACTTCCATTTTCATGCTTGAGTGAAAAAAAGGCTGGGACCATTGATGTAAATTTTATTCCAATTGTTTGCTCATCGTTGATGCTTGTTGTTTAACAAAAATCAACAAAGCATTTTAATATTTGACAACAGTGAAAGATGATTATCAAATCATTTTGTTGCATTTATTTGGATAATTAAATTAAAAATATGTAAACATTGTAGCTCACAAGGCATTTCTTCTTTTTTCAGATTTTACAAATTACTTGTAGTATAGTATTGCAAACATTCATGGCTAAAGTCATTGAAAGGTTCACTTATGGTATTTCAGATACATCATTGTTCTCAGAGTACTTAATTTTCAGCATGTCATTGAATAGACATTTTTGTCTGTGTAAAGCAGAAAAATATTTTGTAATTTTCTGTATAGCTTGGTTTGTTTTTTCTTATGGAAATGCCTCTTTGTAATGAGAAAATAAATACAAAATAGTTGTTTTTGTTTATGCAGATTTGTTGAATGTACTGAGTGTGGAAGAAAACTTCATCAAATATGTGTATTGCATTTAGACAGCATTTGGCCTGAGGGGTAAGTGTAATATGATATTATTTGTATTCCACAAAGTATTACATAATGTTAATATGTTTTGTTTATTGTTTAGTTTTATAATTTTATCCCAAGTGCAAAAGTATTGAACTTGTATTGATTCTGTGACACTTGTGGAAACTCAGTTTTATATTTACTAGTTTTCTTCTGTGTTTATTTTACTTCTCTAATTATTTGATGTAGATTTTTATCTTGTGCTTGACAAGCTAAAATTAACAAGGTGTTAAAATAATCCTACCTTGCAAAGATATTTTTTTTTTTAAAAACTATTAAAAAACATTAAAACATTGTTTTTGTTGTCATTGGTATTTATGATATAATTGGCATATATGAAATATATGCAAGTACACTATATTTATAACTGCTAAGGTTAGATGACACTGTACAGTGTTTTTGTAAAAGCAGTATTTTCAGATTCTTCCTAAGTTTTTCAGTGTGCTAAGTATCAGGAACCATGACAGTGGTTCATAATAGAGTTCACCCAGGAATTTCACAAACATTTTTATAGAATGTAGACAAAAACAATCTTAAAAAGCAGACTTGTTCTTGAAACAGCACTTAAGACCTTTATCTCATTGGCTAAGGCTGCTAAAATAGTAATAATATTAAAAAAAGTTGATTTTCCAATTGAAAGAAAAAGTTCAAAATTCACCCGTTTGTTTTTCATGTTATTCTTGTTTCACAAGCTTAAAGAAAAAATGACTATGAATATTTACTCAAATCTGGGCAAACCCACTAAAAATATTCCTGCCCAAGTCATAGGACTCTTTTTATGTTGATTCTTGAAAAAGGAGATATTTTATCAGTCTTTTGATCACTAGTGGCCATGTCTCTATTCAAAGCCATTCAAGCATCAAAGCTTACAGCAAAAACAGCTAGGTATAGTGCACCAAAATCTATGCACAACTACTAAACAAACTCATACAAAGGTACAGTTATTTTCAAGTTCTTCTTGCTACCAGCATAAGCTCTTCGAAGTCATTCAAACATTGCAGAAATGTAGAAGCTGTTATACTGGTTAGAAATGCTTCATTTTATTAGAGTAAACAATGAAACCTGGACATTAATAATGAATGCATTATTGAGTATGTCACAGGGTAGTTTTAAAATTAATTCAAGTGCCTCCTTTTTTTTTATTCTGAGGAATTTCTCTGAGTCCTTCACTTTCTGCCATTGAAAAAAATTAGTGTTTTACTAATGCACATGAATTGGAAAATAATTTGTGCAACTTATAGCACATTAATTGGAAACTGCCACATTGAGCATTCGCCATTTCTCAAGTTTGCTGTTGTACTTTGTCTTTACATGGTTTTCTGTGATTATTTCAGTGAGTTTTCTAACAGTAGATGATTACCATAGTAGATTTCTTTACTCTTGTGAGTGATAATTTATTCTACTGATTTTTGTGCTTCGTAAACTGTTGAAAATCGTGTAACATTCACCTGAATGCATATGTAAATATGTAGCTTAAAATTTGTTCTCAACAAATGGACATAAAAAACTTAAGAAACAAGATAATTTAAAATTGTTAATTTAAAAGGGGGAATAGGGATTATCAGAAAAGTACAGAAACAAGTTGCTTCAAAATGCAAAGATTATATTTTTAAGCCTACAACTAGGGCAAAAAAAAAAGTAAACAAACTAGGCTGGAAATAGTGTCTATATTATTTTCTCAAACAACAAATTCTTATTTTGACTCCATGTCTATAACTTTAGTTTTATGCCATGACACACAAAGGGAAACACAAACTGCAGCAATCAGTTAAGAAAACAAAAATAAATAAAGCACAATTATAATAAATCAAAATCATATTACACTCCAAATAATTAGTTATATAAAGGCTTAGAAAAAAAACATAATGAAAAAAAAGAAAAATGTAGATGTATCTGTAAATTAAACAAAATCATGCAATAAAATTGAAAGCCAGATTAACCCTATCACCCCAGGTATCCTTTATTGTGTATGATACAAGGTTTTAGTGTCTTACATTCAAAATTTTATTATACTACTTTTTGTTTATGTTATACCAATAGAATAGCATAAAATCTTGGCTAGTAATCCGTATTTTAATAGTATACAAGTTCTTAAATCTACAAGGAAATATTTAAAAAAATCCTGAATTTCCACTAGTGTGACCCACATGACATATTTTGTCTTAGCATGTCATCAGCCCTATTTTATCCACCACCTCTCCAAAATGTGAAATTAAATGTAAATTACAAACCCTAATTTTTGTAGCCTTCAATTTTGTTTGGTTAGAGAGCTATCAGATCCCTCCTGCCACCCCCACCTGTCATATCCTGTCTTTCAGGATTTGTTATTAGTTCTCTCTTAAGTTTAATTGTATATTACCTATAACCAAGGTTTTAATTTTTCAATTGACATATTGTATAACATTATGTTCTGAATGGTTAAATCTCAATTTCATTCAGAGTACTAACATCATTCCCATGGGAAAATTAATAACTAGCTTGGATGAATTTGTAACAACTCTTGTCACATGGTTAGGAAGCCAGAAAAAAATTGAGAGTTGGGGATATTGTCTACTTTTAGCATGTTATTAGCCCATGTTCTTTGGTGCATTATTTAATTAAACAAAAATTATTTGGTGTGTTACTACCATTAGTATAAAAAATTAGGGTTAACTCTCTTCCAAAACCTGACAGCAAGAAAAAAGATCAGATAAGTACTTTATTAAAATATAAAAATATGGACCTTTTTAAATTACTTAAGACTAGATTGGGTAAAATAATAATAATATAATTAAAATGGTTCATGAGGCACGTATGCAAGCAACTTGTGAGTAATGTAATTTATAATATAATAGCATACCTTGAGCTGCACATTCCCCGAGTGATTTACAACTTATAATGGCTAGTTAGGCACGGTTCAAAGGGCAATAAAACAGTATAATTTAATTATAAATAGATGTATACTGTTACGAACTTGCAGCTACTTAGGATAAATGAATGTAGTTTCTTGTTACAGTTTGAAATCATTCTAGAAAGAAAAAAAGAGTAATTCGGGTTTATGTCGTTTTTTTTTTGTCTCTTTTGTGGCTTTCAAACAAAACAGTAGATTGAAACTAACTGTTAAAGTTTGTTTTCAGACACCTGTGTACTACTCTAACAGTAACTTAAGAGATGGATAATCAGTTGTTGTTGTTTTTTCTCTCTCTGGGCTGAAATTAATTCTGTAAGAGAATTTTTATTATTTTTCTTTGTTAGATTGTGAAAAATATATATATTTGTTGTTTTTTCCCCCACATAGCTTTACCTGTGATAACTGTTTGAAAACCAAGGGAAAAAAGAGAAAAGAAAATAAATTTTCAGCCAAAAGTAAGTTATGAACCTCAATTTTTTTTCATAAAGTAAGTGCTTTTTTAATATTTGGATTTTTTAATTTGTTCCAAAGCTGTGGGTATAAAACTGAATTCTAAAATATGTATTATATACACGCCTGTAAAAAATTATATTGCTATGGACCTTCATGGTGGCTACAAACAAGCTAGACAGCTCCCACTGAAATCTGCAGTAGAATTTTCTAAAATCCTCAAAGAGAAAAGTATGTTTTCTGTAAAGAAATTATCAAACTCTGCAGCATTAACTTCTTAATGAAAAACAATGTTAATGAGTATTAATAAATAAAAGTAAGCCACAGTTTGTTATAATATTTTATTTAATTGCATTACTAAAAGCAGGGAAAAAACAGAATAAACATGCAACATCTTATGGCAATCAAGGAATAAGAAACACGTACAAATGTTACTATATTTTAATTAAATCCAAACTAGGTACAGTCTTAATATCCATTTGAATTAGCAAATAAATGGAGTACATGATGCAAAAGAAATATTTTAGATAAACAAGATAACATGCAATATCTTTAACTTGCACAGATAAATAGTAAAATAATGAAAACAATTTGCACAAAAGTAAAAACAACAAAGTATTAGCTCTCTCTGAACAAACTTTCTCATTTTAACCCTATTAGATCCAGCTACAAATTTTACTTGTGGCTAATGTCGCTCTCATCATATTTAATTCCAAAAATAAAACTAGTAGATGGAATTTTTAAAATTTAACAAGAACGTTCTTAAATCTTTGTAGTTTCAGAAAAATAAAATATTTTTTATTTTTCTACTATTTCTAATAATTCATTATTTAATGTATTTATTTGCATTCGGACTCTTCACAGTTCACCTGCAAGGTGATTTTAATATAAAGTATAAAAATACTGTTTATTACCTTACAGTTTCACATTTTAGTTGCTTAATCTCTAGAACCTCCTAAATGAATATCAAAAGTTTTTGTAAGGTAAATGTTTATATTTTATTTTCTATTTTATCTACTTTATTACTAACCCTACCTATTATCATCAATGTACAATGCAATGAAATGTTTAAAATTAAGAAATGGAAATATGTATATACCTTTTAGCTCTTTGTAGAAGCCTTTTGAAACTTGATTTTTTAATATGCATAATTTCATGTCTGTATTATTTATGCTGATATGTCAACTGGTGCCTATGGGGCTATATTATTATTATATGGCAACTCCCACACACAGACTTGTTTCACTAAAGCTTTGCACACACGAATGACACCATCTTGTTTATACAGTTTTACAATCCAGACAACAACAAGTTAAACTTGTAAAAATCATTAAACCTATCAAATATGATTTTTCAAATGCAAATAATACATAATTAACTAAAATATAGGAGTAAAGTTCTAAATAAAATTTGACTATCTCTCTAACTATAACATTTTTAGGTAAGAAACCACCATAAGTGTTATAGTCAATCAAGCAGCCAACAATAATAATGGAAGTTACATGTACACTGTGAGGAAAACTGCATTCCAATTTGAAATTTAAACGTTGGTGGTGTATAGTGTAAACTGAGCTCTTTCTAATGACAATATACACTTATATCTACTAATTACATGGATGTTGTAGATCTCAAGGCAAAGTATAGAAGGAAAGTGTGGCACCCATCAAGGGTTGGAACATTTATAGCTGTTTCCCAGACAAAGCAGTTATAGACTGTAGATATTACGTGTCAAGTAGTTTAAACACTTACCTTACGTCTACATATTCATGTAAATTGTCAGCTCATATGGCTAAGAGTGAATCTCTGCTCAAGTCAAGATTTTGCATAACATATGGATCACGTGACAAGAAAACTGCCATTTCAGTATATTTTGAAAGGTTTCTTTTGAAACAAGGGAACTATAAGTTAGATTACATAAAAATTCAAATTGTAACTTACATTATAATGTTAATTTCATTGACATAGAGTAATAGTAAAGTGTTTTATTTAAGTTTTGAATGTAACACAGTACCATACGCAGAAAGGAACTTAAAAGTAGGTGCTGGGAACCTTAGGGTTAACTGACGTTGCAAACCACCAGGTAACCATGAAAGTATTCCAACTATAACTTTTAATGTAGTAAGTGTATTTTCATGAACTTTAGCAAGGTTTTAGTAAACATCACAAATTCTCTCCTATACAAAAAATCAGGTTTTCTAATTAAGTATTTTATTATAGATTTGTCTGCGAATATATGGAATCAGAGTATGACAAACTCTAGATAGTTCCGGTGCAAGGTGATTTTCGTCTTAAGGTTAATAATAATATTTTTTCATCTTAGTTTTCAGACTCATTTGTACAACCTTTATATTTTACCTGTTATTTTTCCCCCCTTAACGCTCTACAGACTTGGTCGACTTGTAACCACCACACACGCACACACACAGATTTTTTTTTTTTGGGTGTAATAACTGCAGATTGTAGCAGAAAATTCTAGTTATTTATCCTAAACAGATTAAGGCTCTTTACACTATTGCCACAGGTATCCTTTACTGAGAATGACACAAGGTTTTTGTTTCTTACATTCAAAATTTTATTAAACTACCTTTTGTTATGTTATACCAATTAGTATAGCATAAAATCTTACTAATAATCCATATTTTAATAGTATATAAGTTTTAAGTTCTTAATTCTATAAGGCAATATTTTTAAAAAATCCTGAATTTTCCCTAGTGTGACACACGTAACACATTTTCTCTAGGTATCTTCTTTTCTCTATCTTATCCACCACCCCTCCAATAACTATGAAATTAAACATAAATTACTCACTATAAAATCGTCATTACTCAGATAAACCATAATGTTTAGCCTTTAATTTTCTTTGGTTACAGAGCTATCAAATAGAAAATCAGACCCTTCCTATCACATCCTCTCTTTCAGGATTTGTTAATAGTTCTTTCTTATGTTTAATTATATACTACCTATAACCAGTAGAAAGCTAAGGTTTTCATCTATCAAATGACGTGTTATATTTCATTGTGTTCTGAACAGATAATGATCAGTTTCACTTGCATTACAACTTTGGTTTCCATGGGAATCACAACGCTAGCTTGGATAAAATTGTTTGAATTTTGCATGTTATTATTCTATGTTCTTTGGTACGTTATTTAATTAAGTAAAAATTATTTAATGCACTACTACCATTAGTATAAAAAAAGTAGGATTAAGTGTCATCGATAGTTGAAAGCAAAAAAAAAAAAGAATACTTGGGTAAGTACTTTATTTTTTGTCTTTCATGTTTTTTCTTTATTTATTATTATAAAAGTAACTAAAATGTAAAAATAGGGATCTCTTTAGGTTAGTTAAGGTTAGATTAGGTAAAATTAGCAATAATAATATAGTAAAAAATGCTGCATGAGGCATGCGAGCAGCTTGGAGTAACTTGTGGGTAATGTAATTCAATCCCCAAGAGATTTACAACTTATAATGGCACATATAGTAGTTAGGGGGGGTACGAAGTTAGTCAAATTGACCAACCTTATATAGAGTTAGGGTAAAGAAAAATCACATGTAAAATAAAGTTTTACTGAAAACAAACATTTGAAATGTATTTAGGAGGTTTTAGAGATTACACAAATGAAAGTTGAGATTTCTGAGTATTTTTAATTTAAACATGAAAATCAATTTGCACATGGACTATTCAAAACAAATACTCAATATATTCAGGGACAAATCTATTTTTAGTTTATTAAGAATACTTCACTAAAAATAAGATGTTTTTTATGACTGTCAAATTTCATGATGTACAAACTATGTTAAAAGTTAGTCGTATCAAATCTATAAAGACTTTGAACGAGTACAAAGTGGTCACATGGTCAGTCAAATTAACCTAGGCCGTTTTGAGAGAGTTAACAAGGGGCTACGATTTGCTTGTAAAACCAAAAATGTTCAGAAAGAAGATTTCATTACAGAAGTGGAGACAGGTTTGAATAAAATTAAGGAAATTGATAAAGTGGGTATCATTATAGCTGAACGTAAAAAGTTAATAAGTAATTTTAAAGTCAATTTGAATCAAAATGAAGATGTACAAATTTTATAGTTGTTAAACTATATGGATATTTTAATTTGTAAAGCTGATAAAGGTGGTCAAATAGTTATCCAAAATAAAGAGAACTACAATAATAATGTTGAACAGTTACTAAATGATGGGATATAAGAAAAGTTTAAAACCAACCCTGTTAACATGGTTAAAGAAAAACATTAAAGACTGTATAAGCCTAACTCCCCAGTTGATTGGTTCCAAGTAGTTATGTAATTCCAAGATTTTATGCTTAACCAAAAGTTCACAAAATAGGAGTTTCCTTTAGACCCATAGTATTAAACATAGCTTCATCCTTCTACAATGTAGCTAAATATTTAGCGTATAAGTATTCTTTCTTGAGTAATAAAAATATTTATACCATTAAACATTCCATAGAATTTGTTGAACAAATATGTAAGGTGAATCTGAATAATAATGATATTCTTGTATCTTTTGATATTGTATCACTATTCACAAAAGTACCTATTGATACAGGTGTCAAATATTTCAACAACTGGTTACATGTAAAACAGCGTACCAGTCATTGAAATTTTTGACAAAGTAAACTTAGCAAAAACTTGTATTGAAAATTACTATCTTTTCAATTTCATAGTAAGATCTATAAACAGACTCAAGGCCTAGTATGGGCTCTCCATTACTTGCTTTGTTGGGTGATCTTTTTATGGATAGGTTTGAAACTGAAGCTTTAAAGAATGCCAAACTTAAACCAGAAATATGGATTAGTTATGTCGATGACACATTCGTGGTGTGGCGGCATGGTAAGTAGAACTTGCTAGAGTTTGCTAATTACTTAAATAGTCCAAATTCTCTATTCAATTTACTCACGAAGTTGAAGAAAACAACAGCTTACCATTTTTTGATGTATTTGTTAAGAAAAACAAGAGTAAGTTAGAAACTATGGTGTATCATAAACCTTTTTCTGT